GACCCCTTGTCTATTGAAACGGAAGAGCTGCCCGTGGCGCAAGACTATCGGATGAACATCTGCTTAGAAAGATCTAAGCACCGGTTATTCGTAACTCTTAACGTTTGCGACCGAGTCATGTCAGGGTAACTTAAAGAATGGCAGTGGAATTTGACGAATGATCTTTTTTTATTGTTACATACTTTTGTGTGATGAAGAGNGGTAAAGCTCCATAGTCACGAGAACCCGCAGTACAGTGATGGAAACCAGTGACCTAAGCCCCGGGACTTGGAGTGGTGAACCACATAAGGCCCCGATAGGCTAGATGTGGAATTGGACCAGACGACAGCAACGCTGCCTACTACCAAAGTGGCGGGGCTCGAACATCGAATCATAGGACCCAAAGCACGCTTGTGACAGCGGCTAAAATATTGCGCCACCACCACCCAAGGTATGAGGCACCGCTTACATGCTGCTTCAGATCAGAAGTATAGTTAAAGGGATCACTATACTTGTGTGTTTGCGTTGCCTAGAGTAATTGTTACAAACTGCACCAAATATGCAATTTAGCAAAAGGAAAATCAGTACCGGGGATAACACCTTTATGGTAATTATCAAGTTGTATGAACTGGACATCAGCCGAACTTCCGATTTGAACGGTGTGATATTTATCGATGAGAGGGCGTTTTGCCTCGACGGTCCTAATAGCCTCGTTCATGTTCCTCTTGTTTTGACCTGCGTATAAGCAGGTTAATCTTTATAGCAGTCATGCCTACGATTGGGGTTCTGTCGAGTTCTGGGATGTGATTTTTGCGGACGGTAATTGTCAAAAGAAATCAGGTAGCTGAATCTTACATCAAACCTTGAACGAGTTTCTTCCCCCCCAGTTCTAGAGACTCTATTAGGAATCATAATTTTCTAACTCGATAATGGCTCTTTACATCGAACCCACCCCGCCAGAATCGGGTTTCTGAACCGGAAGATCGAGATGGTGGAGTGATCAGTTCACGGTCGAGATTTTTATAAAAACAGTAAACGTGCCATGTTTATTAAATTCATATGGGCATATACATTTCGTTCACGGTTGCCATGTATTGATCTAGCAAATTGCTGCCTTTTCTGTCTAGCGAAGGGGACTCGTCTAAACCGGCCAATGAGTCCACGGGTGATGCTACCTCCCAACCCTCGGAGACCAATGTGCGCCGACCGGTGATCATTCATCGCGCCATCTTGGGCTCAGTGGAACGAATTATGGCAATCCTTACAGAGTCCTATGGTGGTATGTTTTACATGTATTTGCGTTTCGAATGTCTGTGAGGGTACTTTTTGTCTTTGACAAGTACATTATCACAGCTTCATGGTCGTAGCGTTTCATTTTAGTATTATTCATTGGTAATACAGGTTTGTTCTTATTTCGTCAGTAATTTCCTTATTGAGATTATTCAGTTCTCATTTTTTTTGGTTTTCGGTGCAAGCTGGGTAATTCATGAACCTATCGAGTGGATTGTTCTTGGATGTTCCGTCACCGAAACTGATGTGATTTCCATCAGCCGTTAACGGAACAATGGAAAAAGTACTATGTTCTTATCGAATAAGCTTTATGCTATCTATTCTTCTGTTGCAAACTGATCGAATAGGGCTCTCTGTATAACATTCTGATTCAGGTGATGCTTTATCTCTTCCAATTGTACAACCCCAAAAGTTAAATCTGTTCCATTATGTTCTGGATAGCTTTTGCCTACTGCTTTGTTTGAGAGTAGTGTAAATACGATCGTGTAATTAACAAGAGGCTTCCAAAATACACCCAAACAATTTTTAGGAAAATGGCCGTTCTGGCTCAGCCCACGCCAAGCTCTGGTTGTTCCTGTGGCATCTATATACGATGAATACGCAACACAGGTTCGAGACAAGCTTCACGAAGCTGGTTTCATGGTCTCTGTGGATACCGACCCCGGTCGCACACTGAACAAGAAAATTCGCACCGGTCAGCTTTCTCAATACAACTTCATACTGGGTGAGTATTATTCCAAGTGCAGATCACCGTGCATTGAAAGAATACGAGATTGCTTTGCGGTAGAAATCCTAAAAGATATATATATATATATTACCAACTAACTTTTAATCTGCTTCTCGGAGTTTACTTTTTCAGGCAAGTTGATATCAAGCAGTTCAGAGGTGAATCATTGCGGTAATTCTACATGAGTGAGAGACTTCACTCCGCTCACAAGTTTTTTTGTCGCAATAATAGATTGGCATGTTATGTTCCATTAGACAGAGTTAATTCTTTATGGTGAGGACATGGATTTGCATAAAATACTTTCCTGAGAAACTGTCGACCAGAAGGACACGTTTTACAAGACTCTTCCTGAGGACCAAATGGATATTCACGGAGTCCAAGTACGACCGTAAAGAGTAGACAACTCCGCGCCGGTCTATTGAAATTATTTCTCGCACAAGCAGTATTCCTACTCAACTTTATCGCCGAGAAGCGTTTTACTTCGTGCAATAACTTCGGCAACAATATTCTATCAGACACCACTCACCCAGTACACGCAGAACTTAAACAATCCACATTCACTTCTGTAACTAAATGTCGTTATAAACCGGTGTATGCTCGCACCACTGCCCTTCGTTTGTCCGCCATCCCCTATCTTTCGAGATTTCGGGCTCAAAAGGTATCCGTTTGAGAAAACTTTTTGAATTTCCTACGCAATTGATATTCATTTTCAAACTTTTACTCCATATTCCTTTGAATTTGTGATGCTGTTTTTTACTTTCTTGTGATTGTGTGCGATGATAAATGCTCCTGGAGTGCAAGAAGCTGAGAATTCATCCATTGGGATGAATACAGCGATTTGACTTGAAACACAGTCTTGCGTTTTAAGGATTCTCCAGCCAAAAGCTAACCTTGACTGGACAAAGTAAAGCTAGTTGCCCTAAACATCACTGGTCACCAAAACCGAAAACAGTGCTGAGTGTGTTCAGCCCTATCTAAGAATTGATCCCTGCAACGCAACTTTTGTTTATTGTTTTCTGATGTCCGACGAAAATGGCGTTCTGCAGTTTACTGTGTCAAAACCCCAGAAAGCATTCGTGATAATTGGGTAATACAGTATGAATAAACACTTGATGTTGCATTGTCTAATATTCATATATTTGTGGTAAGGATCAAGTTAAATAACATGTTCTACGAACCCATTCTGTCTGACTGTCGGATGGAGCATTTCTACTGGCCAGAAATTGGAAGCAAAACGTTCGATACTCATACGGGTTTTTCTCGCTTTGTTTTATATGTTGTTGTTGTTGTTGTTGTTGATGGGGATGATCCCTTGTGATTTGAAGGCGGTGAACTACTTCCGAATTCATGTCATCTTTCAGTGCAGTAGCGAATGCTTTCATCTCAGCTACTGCCGCTTCAGTTGACTCATACCACCATCGGATTAATCGTGTTTCGCGTTGATGCTTTAATCCAATCTACCGGTTCGGTGTAGATAGGTATATATGTATTGTCCTTCTGCCTCCACTTTTGTTCCATACTCTGTGGTCTTTGCTGACTCATTCCACGTAAACCGGACATTTGGTTAATTATCTGATCACAAAAATCGTCCCACGCACGGGAACGTTCGTGGAACCCTTTATGAATCAATGTGTGTGTGTGTGTGTGTGTGCTGTTTGGTTGAGACTGAATCATCGCTTCTCTGTGCGTGCCCCAGAGTTAGGTCGCCCGCCCCCCCCGCCGGCACACATACGCGCTTGATTGTCATTGACTCGGATCCCCTTAAGACTCGCCACGTGCGTGATTTTATCCAGTTGGTGAAGATGGTGAGCAGCATGGGGTAGGGAGATATTTGCATACACACGTGCTTGCTGTGGGCATCGTTTGAAATAAGCGACATAATCTCAGATTGTTTACCTCCGATATTACGGTGCGTAATCCTTAGTCAACAGAAATGTTATTAGACTATGCGCGCGTCACTCCACCATTCATGCAATGAATGGGTTTTTCGAAGACATTATCCAAACAGGCAAATACCGGTTAATCTGTGTCACAATTGGCTGACAGCGTTCGTGGAACTGGTTTTATTTTTTACTCAGATAGCTCAATACCAACAAAGGATGCGAGTTTTTAGTAGCGTAATCATTGGTCGTTAATGGTCAACTTCATATAACATATAATGCCGTGATTACACACTGCGTTGGGATGTTGAGTGAACAATATGAGCTCCGCACAATATGATTACTAATAGTTTTCTTTACAGTAACTGGAAACCACTTGTGCTATCGTTGGACATCTTGGACATCACACGGCGTATGGTACGATGAAGTGGATACCATCGACCCCCAATGGACTGGTTTCTTTGTTGTACGTGTTTCGGTATCATACTTTGTTTGGAGACAGGAAAGAAATTAGTTCATACTTGGTGTGTAGATAGAATACAATCGGATCACCAAGAAAAAAACAGGCGCATTTTCTAGCGGTATTCACAGCTGAAACTTTTGGCTGGACAACGCCTGACCCTTAGTGACAACCATTATCCATGGGAGGCCAGTGCCCTGTTCATTAGATTATATACCCTTTGAACTCGGTCTAACATCTCAGGTGACCATAACATCTCGATGCCCAATCAATCCAGTAATTACTATCAGAGCCAGGAAATTGTGGCTTCAGTTTGTATTCCTCTTTCTAATTGATTTCCGATCAGGGATTCTTTTCCAACTCCCCTCTATGAGTTGCTAACGGTTCATCGACCCGGTTGTTGACTTTCCATCCTCGTGGTTTGATGAGAAAGCACCACATGAAGCCAAAGAATGAGGCTTATTCGGCAAAGGCTTTTTGCACCACTTAGTCGCATACAAAAATGGGGCATTCGCTACAACTGACTGTAATGAGGCTTTGAGAGTAATGAACCAGCCAGATAAACAGTCTTTCGACCTAGATGTTCCTTCGTCGCAGTCGCTACTGGACTTTGGTGGCAGACAGCTCTATTCTGTTCTATTTGGGTAATCCGATTTATCACTCCTAATCCCTAGGTTTCATGTTACCAGTTACCATAGACCGACCAATAAGTTTACTGTTTTATCCATCCCATCGTTCATCACCCTGCAATGCGTGTACTACAAAAAAACTCCTATCAACGCATCAGTTCCGGACTGGTTGTGAATGGTATTTAACTTATTTCAGATCGTTAACCCGCTCGATTGCCGCGATACATTCATGTTGGTCGTTTACGGAGATGTTGGAATCGGTTTCTTTTTTTTCGTTCACATCTGATCATGATTTCGAACTACGTTGCTTTTGCTGTCTGACTGTTTACCGGTCGTGTTTTCTTAATTTATTTTCCCCGCGTTTTCTTTAGTGGTTGGTGAGAAAGAAGCGACCAGTGGCACAGTGAATGTTCGCACTCGAGACAATAAAGTTCACGGAGAGCATCCGGTTGAACACGTGATCGAACGTTTTCGAGCACTGGCTACCTCCAAAACACGCGAGGCGGAACTGGAGTATTGAGCAAACTCACTTTATCCCGTGTGACTCTGATTGCGTCTCGTTGACCCGACTCGCTCAGGGCCGCCCCTCTCTCTACTCCCACAAAATGTGTGTGTGTGTGTAAATGTGTGTGTATCTCGGTCCTATCAGGGTGCGTATTGTGTTTGGTTTATCGACGGTATCCGGTCCGGTGCCAATACACATGTGCTTCCCGAACCGAGAAAGTCAAAATACAATCCGATCCAATCCTGGCTCGTTGTACTTTTCTTTCACGTCACACTGTGCGCTGCGCAACGCAACAGTTAGAAATACAAGTCAGGTGGTCAGTCTTCCCGCTGCCACCCTCGCAGATTGATGCTCTAACAACCGTTTTGTCAGTTTTTCATCAGCTCATTTGGGTGATGGGGTATTTGAACATCTTGGATGCTTAAATCACCTCACAGAGGCGCGAGATACGATTTAAAACCAATCTATTTGCACCGCTTTCCTCATTCGCGGATCAGACTTTAGTTGATTTAAGGTTTCCCATGTTAGCCCTTTTAAGTCAAGGAAAGCTTTATGCACTCAGCACTTTCGTGAGCAAACATCAAACGTTTACCAAATAAAAAATAGTTGTGATAAGAAACTAATGTGACATACGATTTTCCAAGTCAGTAATGATAGTTGCTCAGCGACAGTATCAACAGTGGTCAGCGAAGGTTTGTAAGCAAAATGAATTGGGTCATGAGCAATAGATGAAAGGGTCATCCGGTTGAGAAGCACTTTTTCGAAAACTTTCAATAGTGCTGATGTACAATCAATTGGTCGGTAGCTGAGAGATCCTTTTTGGGGGATTGGTTTTATCTGGGCTGCTCTGTAGCAATCAAGAATACTCCCAGCTGACTGAACAGCTCGGAAATAGTGATGCAAGTTGTTCAGCACACGATTTAAACAGGACGGGGGACAATGAATCTGGGCTACGTGCCTTTATAGATTTGAGAGACTTCAGCACCTTCGAAACTACCACCGGGGTGACATTGGTTCTTTTCAGTAGATGCCAATGAAGATGATGTTGAGTTCAGTACAAAAGTATTTGCGAATTGACGGTTTAACTCCTCAACGTACGGAAAAGAGTTATTGCATGATCCACAGATCTGCTTCAAGGCAGACCGTATATCACGACAGTTCTTGCTTTCTGATCGCGAGAAGTACAGAAGTAACAGCTTTCGTGAGACCAATATCAGCATAGATGGGATTTTCATAGGATGTCTAGATTGCACTGTGGTACGATCATTTGAACGGAAACAGCTAAAAATCATTCCATTTCGTCGGTTCGCCGCTCTTGGCAATTTGTTTGCAATCGTTTCACTACTAACTGAGGTGACATCGTCAGTGCTTGTGAAGCGGGGCCTCTTCACTACTTTGTCAGATAAAAGTCAGTCACAAACAGACTGAAGGCTAGACAAAGCTGTCAGGGAAAGGTAAAGGTAGATTACTACGTATCGCCTTAAACTAAATGAATCATGCATCGGAGATGAAAACGATGCTTGAGTTGATCGTTTACGTAGGAACGGGTAAACTCCATACGAAGGCGGGGTGAAGTGCAATACTTTTGTCGCGGTGAAGCGTCTGTTTTTCGACATATTTTCGTAAGAATTAAAGTTAATTTGGTGAAATTTCGTATTTTGGCTTTTCGTCTAGGTTCACGAAAAATGGCGATGATCGTCCATGTCGAAATTTGGAGGTAACCGAAAATACTTTTATCGCGGGGTGTATCATCACTAACTTTATATGCATTGCGAGTGGAGTTCACTTCACAGTACGATGATACTGGGTATTTATGAAAATGTAGGAAAATAAAAAACCAGCCAACTGGGACACAAGAGTGGCAATCAAGCTGAGGGGAGGGGCGATGAAAAATATCGACCAGCGAGAACTCCGGAAGATGTGCAATTGTGGGAGGAACTTCCGAATTTGAATCCAAAACGATGGACATCTGAGAAATACTGACATCCAATTTTGGTCGATTTTCATCTGGACTTGTACTCCAATGTTACTGATGTATGA